TGATGTTGATCCCTCCGTGGTTTGCATCGGTGAACACATTAACTACATTTTGTTCAATTTAAATCATGGTACAAAGATTACTCATGTGTGGACTCGTAAACAAGCCCTGTGTGTGTGTCGGTCTTACATCCATAAATTACTGCTCGCTCTGTATCTAAATAGAAAGTCAGAAGGCACTCATGTGTAATGTGTATTTGTTATATACTTGGAAATAGCTGTGTCTGATGACGTTTGTAATGAATGCTATAGGGTAGTGCCTATACCCAGGGTGTTGGTATGGACTGGCTGATTCCCTCTTTCCATTGGGACTGGCTGGCTCCTGGCTGACCCCCCTGACCAATCCAGTGGAACCTGAGAGTAACCTCACAGCAGTATATAGAGCTGGGATGGACTGGTTTGGGCTCTTGGTCGGTGTCGACTCTCTAAGCAACATGTAGCTGCATTATACTGAGGTCCAGAGCCTCCAGGGTTCTCTCTCTCTCCAACCATCTCTCCTTGGGGAGTGATATTTTCTGTTATGTCTGTATGTATCTTGTTTTAATTCAGTGTCATTAAATGTCCTCTTTTATATCTATTGGTTTGGGCCTCGTATGTACAGCAACGATTACATTTTCATGATAACGCAGGGCTACCATATTTTTTGGATTATAAGTGGCAGTTTTTGTCATAAATTGGCCGGGGGTGCGACTTATGTATGAATGAATTACATTTTCTATTTTTGATTTTGTCACAAACTTCAGTAAAATAACAGACCATGTAGCAATTCCGCAAGTGTCCATAAGATGGAGGCACCTGGCACCTGGGAGCAGGAGAAGACACCCAAACTTTTTTTTTTTTGACACCCAAAGTCTGGAGAGGCTTTAGGTAGGCCTTCCTGTTTGTAGTCCATTGTTCCCCATTTTATGTTGACCATGCGTCTTTTGTTTCTGTTACAAATGTTAGTAAAGTGCTATTGTTTGTGATTCTTGTTTATTGTTTACCAGTCTAATTTGATGCTTTGTTGACTGAGACATATTTACCCTACTTACAGAACCATGGCAACTAAGAATAAATGTGGGGTGAAACAAGCTTCAACTGTTTCCTGGTGGTCTGTGTCTTCAGTTTGGACATTTATACATAACAAAATTAATAAATTGTTTACTGTAAAATAAAAAAATTGCCCGGGCTATTGAGTTTAGCGATTAAGCTATTAGGAAGATCCCAAAGAAGTATTGAATACCATTGTGCCATATAGTCTAGAAATAGATTTTTTTTTTTTGTGTTACCTACATTTTTGCTCCTACTCTACATCAAAACTGAATCTCACAAATAATTGACAGTGAAATTGACTCTAAAATGAAATGTATTTTCTAATCCAACAAATGCGAGTTATACTCTAGTCCAGCCATTCCCAAACTCAGTAACACCGAGGCCCCCTTAAAAATCTGACGGGTCTGCGTGGCCCCCCAAAATAATAACCAAGAAGACAACATTAAGAATAGGCTCTTCTGGTTATTTTATTTTGGGGAAATAGCCTCTGCTACAAACATTGTAATACAAACATGATTACAGTGGATTATTCAAGTCAAATAATGAACACAAATATTTTAATATTACAAACAAAACATTTGAAATTTAACATTAAATAATTATATTATTTTTTTATTTTTTTTATGACCTCCCGTGGCCCCCCTGCAGTACCCTCGCGGCCCACCAGGGGGCCGCGGACCCCACTTTGGGAGACACTGCTCTAGTCCATATATAGGTTCGTTTCCTTCTTTATTATTATTTTTGGCTGGTGCGATTTATACGTCAGAGCGACTTATTCGAAAAATACGGTACTGACTTTACTTTCCTATAATGTACAAATGTCACTATTATTATTTATATGCAAATGTCAGTTTTTGAAACCATCATTCTAGTATTCCTCCTGTGGACTCACCACCTGCAGAGGGTCAGTGAGGGGCTGGTGCTATGAGACTTGGGTGGCATCTCTGACTGCCACCCCCCTGACCCAGAAATGGATTAAAGGGTGGAAAATGGATGGATGGATGGCATTCTAGTATTAGTATTAGTATCTATTTTAGCTGTAAAAAAGCAACATCAAACCAGATCAATTAGTTTTTTTTATTGCAGCGTTAACTATTCCTGGACCCAGCTGGACAAGTCCAAAACAACTCAGCACAAAGAGAAATTAGAGTCGTTTGAAAAGCCATAAGAAAATAAAAAAAGCAAAGACTTACTCATCACAAGGAATAACATTTGAGGTAAATAGGTCAAATCTGAAACTGAACTTTACAGAACAATACTCAATTTTTATCAAAAGAATATTATTGAAACTGCTTTTAACATGAAAAAGAGTGAATATAATATTATCATATAAAACGTGAAGTCAAAACTGTGGAGAAAAGAGTGATTATTTGAGTTTAGGGAAGTATACAGTGGCTCCAATGTTATAAATCCCAACTCCGGCATGAAGCGGGCGAGTAAAAGTGTTCTGTTCCGTGCGAATCAGACTCATGTTTTCATCAATGCCATAAAAGAACAAAACCCCTGCTCTGTGGTCCAGGTAAACCCCGATTCTGGGCCCAATAGGACCTGACATCTGAGACCGGACGGAGTTAAACCAAAAAGAAGTTCTGGTTTTGTTACAGAACAAGGTCCAGCATTTATCACTGAATCCAAATCTGCAATTTGCAGAATCTTTCCTCTGAATATTACTGTATGAAATTACAATAGAAGCACCACGCTCCCCGCTCCACTCCACTTCCCCGTAACAGCGACCGGTCACACTCTCTGCTCAGGACCTGAGGACATACAGAGAATCTTTCCTGATGACATGGATATTTCTGGTCTTTACCTGTAACTGTTACTCTCCTGTTTTCTTCGGACAGTCTCAGGCTATATCCACACGAAGACAAAACGCTTATAATTTCAGAAACTTTTTCTGTAAACACGGAGTTAGCTCAGTAAATGTGTGCGTCCATATGAATGTAGTCAATACGCCTGAAAACGCTGTGAAACTATGCAAGACCTGTTGGTGGCGCTGTGACGCAATGACGGGATCAAGCCCAAACTTCCGTGGGTATGCGCGGAATTTTGTAAACAGAAAACATGGCGAGTGGGCGAGCTGGTACTACATTAGTATGGACGGACGATGAGGTTGAACTGTTGCTTCGGGTCACACTGGATTACAAAACCAACAAGCTACATTGTTGTTGTCATTATTTTCTGAGTGCGGCGCATGCGTGCTTTAACAAGAGGCGGGGCGATGACGCAAGCGTCTCAGATACATTGCGGAGAGGCAGTAACCACGGAGCGGCATATACGGAGTTTTGAAATCTTTCCACTCTGGGACCTGGTTTCAAAAATGTTCGTTTACACCCCCCCAAAACGCCGGCCTCGTATGGACGATACACTGGATTGATAAAGTATTTTTGCGTTTAGGCCTGAGCTTGACTTCGTGTGGACAGGGCCTCAGCCTGACGTGAGCAGTGTTTTTGATCCATAGTGAAGTCATCAGAATAATGTAAGACCTTGTGTCTGCTCCTGTGGTGTGGCAGTGAGAGCTGTACAGGACTCAGAGCCAGAGAGATGTTTCTGCGTCTCTTCTCCACAGTGAGGCGCAGTCTCTCCCTGAGCTCGGACAGAGCTCTGGTCACTTCCTCAAAGGGGCTCCTGGCCTCCGAGTAGCCCCTGGCTGGGACTGGCCCCTGTAAGTGGGAGGCCAATGCAGTGTGGAGCTGTAGAAAGCTGTTGTTGTCTTTGGTGAGGGACAGTGTGTCCAGGTCCCAGAGGCTCTGCTTCAGCTCCCACAACTCCTGCTTCACTTGGTCTTGGATCTCTCGGACTCGGCTCAGTCCTCTCTGCTCCTCAAACTGGATCTGCTGCTCCACTTCTTCTGCTCTTGTCTCCAGGAGAAGGATCATGTCTCTGAAGCTGTCCCTGCTGAGCCACAGTGCTGTGTGGGCAGAGCTCCTGATGTCCTGCTCCTGCTGCTGGAGTGAGCTCAGCTTTGTGTTTTTGCGATAGAGGTTCTGAAGGAGCAGACGTCTCTGGGCCCCCAGTTGTGCCTGCCTCTGGGTCCTCTCTGAGACTGAGGACACAGTCTCATGGCCCTTGTGTTGGTCCTCACAGCAGAGGTAGCAGATGATCTGCTGGTCTGTACGACAGAACATCTTCTTCACCTCGTTGTGTTCAGAGCACATGTATTCCTGGAGAGTGTGCAATGGCGCCACCAGCTGGTGTCTTTGAAGCGCTGCAGAGTCATAATGAGGCTGTAGGTGGCGCTCACAGTAAGATGCCACACACTGCAGACAGGACTGGACCGCTCTCAGCTTGGCCCCAGTGCAAACATCACAGGTCACGTCCTGAGGTCCGGCATAGAGGTCAGCAGGTGGCGCTGTTCTCAGCTCCTTCACCACACTTGCCAATAGGATGTTTTTGGCCAGCACAGGCCTTGGGCTAAAGCTAGCACGACACTGCGGACAGCTGAAGAGCTTCTTGGCCTCCTCTCCATCCCAATGCAGCTGGACACACTTTAGGCAGAAGTTGTGTCCACAGTTAAGAGTGACCGGGGTCTTCAGTAAGTCTAAACACACAGGACAGACAAACTCCAAGTGCTGCTCTCCTGTCTGTGCCATTCCTGCTGCTCCTACTGCACACTTAAGAAGAAACTTGTGAAAGAGGAAACGTGCTCTTGAGGGGCCAACAACAAGTCCTTTCTGCCACCACTAGAGCGCAGCACTTTCCTATTAATAATTCAGCAGATGTTTTAAATTATATTTATTTGTTTTGCATTTAATTTATAATCAAATTTCTGAATAGAATCACGTGCACTTGTTTGCTCTATGGATATTATTGTAAAGTTCACTTTCAACACAAGCGGAAGTGACTTTACTTCCGGGGTTGACGTCACAGGACTGCAGCTGTTCAAGTGCATGGATCTTTAGATCTTTACACTAGTTTAATATTCTGTGTGTTTGTTTATATGAGTTTATTGTAAAAGCAGACGTACTTCCATGGCGCCTCTGCGGGTCCTGTGTATTCACGGTTACCGTCAGAACAGCGGCTCTTTCCGGGAGAAGACTGGAGCTCTGCGCAAACTTCTGAAGAAACACGTGGAGCTGGTGTTTATGGACGCCCCTCTCTGTGTGAAGCCGCCAGAGGCCCCCGGGACCCCCCAGACCTGCGAGGGGACCCCCGGGACCCCCCAGAGCAGCGAGGGTCAGTGTCATAGACCAGGGATAATCCGCCATTTACTATAATAATAATAATAATAATAATAATAATACATCGTACTTATATAGAGCTTTTTGGACACTCAAAGACGCTTTACAGAAGAAAAATAAGAAACAAAAACTTAAAAGCTAAAAATAAACAGTTAAGTGTTGGCAGTTTTGAACAGGTGGGTTATTATTGTGACTCGTCCTTACTGTGCACTGCAGGGCTGTAATTAACGCATGTTTTTGCAGAATCGATTAGTTGTTTAACTGTAGAGAGGTCAGTGAATGTGGGATTTTCTATACATTTCACCAAAACAAAGCTTTCCTTGCAGAACATGTTCATAGAGAGGACTTTTTACACAGTGGATTGCTTGATTAAAACCCTTTTTCATTTTGTTCTGCAGTTACTACTGAATTATCTAAGTCAACTTCATTTTTATTTATTTTTATACAGCCCTAAAATCACAAAAACACAGAAAATGCAATAATCCTTAGCAGCCATTGGTCCATAGGGAGTGACCACTGGCCTTCAATGTCATCAGACCCTCCTGCATTTGCAAAGAACGACTTAAACAAAAGAAATCAGTGGGAAAATGGTGAGAAACTTCGGCGTAGCCCATATGGAGAGGATCTGCTCCCACGGACAGACAGACTGTAGATCTAGGACTCAAACATCTCGGCATGGTTATCAAAAAATTATAAATCCATTAGTAAATGAGTTGGTTATGGCTTAGTTGCATTTAATTGATTTTCCTTGTCACAGGCAGAGTCATGATAACAATGCATTACTTATAATTTGAGTAAATGAACTACAAAAGATCTACATTTCTTCAAAGAGTTCTGACTTGCATTTAATTAGAATATTTGGCAAATCAGCAGTTTTAGAATCTGAATCCTTTTATTGCCATGTGAGTAACAGGAAGTCACAAACCAGGAAATTGCTTTGGCTCTCGGCGCAAACAAGTTAAATCAGAATAAAATCAATAAGGCATGCATAAATAAAAATCTACATAAATGTCTTCAGTTTACGCAGAATTTTAGCCCTAATAATTATATTATATATAGGTATAATGGGTAAACGAGTGAATAGTTCTTTTGCACAAACAGAAAAATGCCATAAGAAAAATATTTGAAAGGCTTACACTTTGTACAGTGCTTTGGGTGACCTTGTTCTGTAAAATATGTTATATAAATAAATACTTCCTCTTTTAATGCCTGCAAATAAAGTTTTATTGCTTGTTGAGTTGTTGAATTCTCCAAAAAAAAAGTGTAAAAAATCGTAACTACAGTAAAAATACTTTTTCTTTTCTTTTTTTCAAACTGAGGAATCTGTTTTTGGAAATGAACTCTTTGTGTTTGAATCCATATATATATTTTCTATGGTTAAGAACGTGACCAACATCTAAGCTGCTGTAACTGGACCTCTCCTCTCCTCAGTGTCTCCGGACCAGGACCCTCGCGGATGGTGGTTCTCTGACGTGGCGGCTCGCAGCTTCAGCGCTCAGCAGAGGTGCGAGGTGAGTTTGGGGCTGGACCAGAGCGTGGCGGCGGTGAGGGACGCGGTGAAGACCCTGGGACCCTTTGACGGGGTCCTGGGCTTCAGTCAGGGCGCGGCGTTCGTAGCCATGCTCTGCGCGCTCCAAGAACAAAACTTGGAGCCAGAGTTTGGGTTCCGCTTCGCCGTCCTGGTGGCAGGTTTCCGCAGCGCCTGTTCCGAGCACGAGAGATTCTACGAGCGCGTGCTGGAGATACCGACGCTTCACGTGTTCGGGCTGGACGACCGAGTCATCCCCGACCACATGAGCAAAGACCTGCTCCCCGTTTTCAAAGAGCCTCTCACGCTGACGCACCCGGGAGGACACTTTATACCAGCTGCAGCCGCTCACAGGCAAACCTACCAGGACTTCCTCAAGAGATTCCAATGACAATGTGGAAGGGAGTTTTGAGTATGACCATGGATGGAAATATTGTCAATGATAAAGGCCTAGAACAGGGGTCTCCAACCTGTAGCTCGCCAGCCCCTTTCAGGTCGGCTAAACTAAAAGGACAGTGGTGATGATCCAGGACATTCGACGACATTTATCAACACTTTTGGACATTGGTCGTCTGCCCCTTATGGACCAATACCAATGTGCTTTCTGTATTATTTCTTGTGTTTGATCTGTGTTGGTGAATTAAACGGTTGTGTAAAGTCCTCAGAGATAACTTCTGTTGTGATTTAGGGCGATACAAGAAGAAATTGAATTGAATACTGTAGCTCCCCAAAGGATTAATAGCACGGGTCTCAAACTGGTTTCAGAAAGGCAAGTTTTGTTCAGCATATTGAGTTGCCTTGTGTATGAGTTGTGCTATTCAAATAAACTTGCCTTGCCTTGCCTTATACAGTTTTATGATATATTTTACAACTGTGTTCTCCTGGTTTTGTTGTAGTTATTATAGCCGTTTATTACGACTACAAAAAGTTATTACATTGAGAAAGGTTTGAGACTCGTGGCCTAGAAAGTTGTAGTTCTTGTGTCAAATGAAGTACCTGCCTGTTGTTTATTCTCAGGAAACAATTAATTATAAATATTTTTATTCCATTCCATTTTCATTTTTTGCCTCAACACAATATTGGCTGAACAAATGATTGGAAAAATAAAGATTTGAATTTCAATGTACAATATATAAATGAACATATAATAATTAGTTTATCAAGTATACAACTTTTTTATGTAGGTTTTCCAATAGTTTTACTTAGGAATCTTTTCCCATTTGTGTGCGTAATCTTGCAGCCTTAGACCACAACATGGATCAAGTATCACTGAGGAGGTGTAGTGACAACATTGGTATTTTTATTTCTGTATCTTACAAACACTCTTCAGATCACATAATTATTTCCAAAGAAAAATAATGAAAGAAATCCCTTTGAGCATCAGAGGTGACAAAAATCACCCACTGTGATTGAAATGTTCACATAACCCAATGTTACAACAAAAGTGTCATTTTTTACACCTCTCTTGTACTGTAATTGTAGTTCTTGATGATCAGAATCAGAACATGTTCAAAACGATATTTTTCAAGCTTAAACCAAGAACCAAGGAAACTCGACCAAAAACAGTCGGAGAACTTTCTGACAATCGACTCAAAACTGCAAAAACACCCAGCATTACTACTTAACACGTTAAACGGCTACTTTGACCTTATATCACCAACAAAAATATATTAAACTTGAGATGATTGATTTCGCTCTAATATGTAAAAGTAGATAGATTGATAGATAGATTGAAATTCTTAATGCTTTATTAGCATAAAAAAGTAGCTTTCCTCCAGTGAATTTTTGCTTGATCTGCTTGGTTCAGACCATGAATCCTCTCTGCGCTGGTCTGGATCAGTGTAAAACCATGAACACTGGACTGCAGTAGATTTTGTAGATTATGTAGATTTTTATTTATGCATGCCTTGATTTTATTCTGCTTAAACTGGTTTGCACCGAGAGCCAAAGCAATTTGCTACAGTAGTTTGTGACTTCCTGTTACTCACATGGCAATAAAAGGATTCAGATTAAGTTAGATTTATAGGTAGAAAAAAAGTTTAAAAAAAAAATGTGAAACACAAAACTGTTTCAGAACTACATAGATCTTGCTGCCGTTTCTTGCACATTCAAAATAATAATTGGCATTATTAATCGGCATGACTACTATTGCAACAACACATCATCAGTAGGGTAAGACCTGTCTCACGTCTAATAATAGTTATTATTTGTCTACTAAGATACTATTATACACACAAAATGACTATAGAGGGCAACCCTAAATAGTTTCCAATATGTTTTATTACAGTCCACAAATATGCCGGCTTCTACTACTGTATTACCAAAGTGAGTATGTTATCTTGTTATTGTTATTGTTTTTCCATTTGCTGGAGGTTAGATGCACTCAAAATGAATGCATTATACTGATTACTTTTGAAAATCTTGCATTACGTGATGGTGATCATGTAATGCACAGAACTGTATCTACGGCAACGGGCGACGTCATGGGGTTCTGAGGGTTCTAGCTTGGATCTTCCCATAGTTACCATCACTGTGACCCAGGCCTCACTTTGACACAGCCACTCGAAGAGGACAGTGGTGTTTTTGTGCGTCTCCTGCAAAAAGTGAATTCAAACTCAAAAATACAAAGATGTCAACACCTTTAGTGGAACTGAGACGGATGCGAGTCAAACAGTTCTTGACCGACGCCATCATCGTCGTGAACGGCTCCAAGTTTCATGTCCACAAGTTGGTCATGTGCGGCTGCAGCCCTTTCTTCAAGTGAGTACAACATTTTCAATTATCACCTGGTTGAAATATGTGGTAAGAACTGAGTGTATGTTGCGTTTGAGAAGCATTTTGTTGTTATTCAAATGTCGTAGCAGCGAGTCGTGATCAGCTGTTGTTCTTTGAAACTAAAACTGTGGCTTTCTCTGTGGCTTCAGGATTGGGATCTTTGACAATTTGAATAAGATCTCTTGTAAGTTATTCTTGGATGGTTTTGTCACTATTGTATAAAACATAATGTCAAATTCTGGTAGAAATTGACAGTTTTTTTAGGCATCGGAAACCAAACAAGGGCTTCATAGTCTTGTGCTTTAACTGTTTGATTCTCTGATTGGCCTTGGCAACTTTGACGGTTTTGTTAAGTCCTCTGAGATAACGACTGTTGTGAGGGCTATACAAGACTACATTGAATTGAATAGTTGTCTTTCCCATGGAGTCCAATCACCTGGTTTGACTATTATCTCTGTACAATACTGTTTGTGACCTTCATTCCTTATTTTGCTTGGGACAACTAAGGCAGGATATGGCCTGATTTGCTTTTGGATGAGAGAATGCCTGTGTCAGTCTTCCCCATGGCTGTGACAACAATAGTGACTAGTGAGAATTCAGAACACTTTGAAACCATGTTTACGGTTTAAGAGGAAGCAATAAAATATATGTACCTGAAATCAATGTGTATCTCAGTGCGTGAAGTCACTGTTTAGAAGAAGATTGATTAAAACAAGTTCAAATCTGTAACCATTATAAAATAAATGTAAAATGATAAAGTAAGTTGAGGATGGAGAGAGATCGGGTTGAGGTGTCAGTACATCAGAGACATGTTTGTGCCATATGAACCAACTCGGACTGGCCTCCTGTTAGTGCCCCGAGTCAGAACTAAACATGGGGAGGCAGCATTTCAGATTTATGCAGCTAAGATCTGGAACAGTCTTCCTGAAAACGTGAGACCGGCTTCTTCTCTGACAATGATCAAATCCAGGTTTAACACAGTTGTTTAGCTGTGCATACAACTTCCTGCTATGTTAGACAGATTTCTAGTATGTTCTAACTAATCTGTGGATCCGCAGAGATTTATTCACCACCTGGTCCACTCCGGACAACATAGTCTTCTATGTCCCGAACATCACAATGTCCATGATGCAAGTGTTTATCAATTTCGCCTACTCTGGCTGCGTCTCTGTAAACAAAGACAATGTCCATGAACTGTTCATCGCCGCTGACCGCTTCCAAGTGGAGGGAGTGACTCTGGAGTGCTGCAAAGAACTGAGCCGGTCCCTGAGCTCCCAGACCTGCTTCGACACCTGGAGGATCACCAAGGACTTCTACTATCCCGAGTTGAAACAGGAAGTGCTGGACTTCATCCTGAACCGCTTTGAGAATCTGGTAGCGACTCCCGGCTTCCTGCAGCTCTCCGTGGAGGATCTGATGACGTTCATAGATTGCGACGATCTAAACGTGCAACAGGAGAGAGCTGCTTTCGAAGCCGTCATAATCTGGATCAACCATTCGCCTCAGGACCGACAGGAGCACCTCCAAACCTTCCTGTCAAAAGTAAGTAGTCGTTTTTCTATTGCAGGGGTCTCCAACCTTATTCCAAGAAGAGCTGCTTTTTCGGGAAATATGTGGCTACTTCTTTTAGACAGTGGACATTGTGTGCTACAATGGATTGAGTAGATTCGATCTTAATACACTTAGAATAATAGAACAACCAGCTTTAGTCTCATTTCAAGCACAGATATATACAATTAGCCTTTGTAAATAATTAAGTGTAGCTAATAATGGGTGATTATTGGGGATAAAGGTTTTCTGAATATGAATTTTTGGCACCTTCTCATCTCGTTCAGATCCGTCTGTCTTTCATGGACGGCCAGTACTTCACAGACCACGTCCTGGGGAATGAACTAATCAGGCAAAATCGCAAACTCTTCAACCACCTGATCCAAAGCATGAAGCAGATGCTGGACATCCAACAGGGCAGACCCATCAGGATCTCCCCTTGCCCCCCCAGAGTTCCACGGGACGCCATTGTGGCCATCGGCGGCTGGAACATCGAACAACCCACAAACGCCATCGAGATATTCAACAAACACACCAAACGCTGGGTCCCCATGCAGAACCCTGACCCTACCCCTCGCAGCTACCACGGGGCCTTCTTCTTGGGCGGCTGCGTCTACGTGATCGGTGGGTTTGGCGGCGAAGACTCCTTTTGCACCATGCACGAGTACGACCTGGTGAGACAGACCTGGCGTGAGTCTGCTCCCATGCACGTCCGCCGCTGCTACGTGAGCGTGACCTTCCTGGACGGATTCATATACGCCCTCGGAGGCTTCGACGGCCGCGATCGGCTCCGGACCGCCGAGAGATACAGCTCCGAGACCAACCAGTGGAGAATGATCGCCCCCATGCACGAGCGGAGGAGCGACGCTAGCGCTGCCCCCCTGAACGGACAGGTAGCCTAACGCAGACGGGTTTTTTAATATACTTTATTATGTCTTTTAAAAGAGGAAAATGATGGAGCCAAATTAAAGGCCTCAAAGAAAGAAAATTTTAAGGCTTATTTTTGCCCATTAAACATGATCATCTTTCATGGGCAAAAACATCCTTTGACATGTTTTAGAATCTAAAATAGTTTATTAAGTAGAAATTATTTGGGGAAAAGTATTTTTTTATGAAGGGTAAAAATGCTTTCCACCAGTAACTCCCTTTGCTACCACCAGGGGGATATGAGTATTTTTGTGTATAGGTACAACAGAACCTTTAGAGAGGAGGGGTGAAGTTACTTGTTTGTGCAGTAAGTTTTTGTTATTGTAGTGGATAGATCAGAAACAATGACGTTACATGGCTAAAATGGAAAAAAAATATATTGTTGTCGACCCCTACCAGTTGGATTGCTGTCACGCCAGCCGTCTAATATATTGCCAGCCATCTAATATATAAAAAAAATCTTTTTCCAATACAATTTTAAGTCATATTTAATCTGAAGATATTTTGTTAGATCAAAAACAGTTGTATTATTTATGGGGGAAAAGGTTAGGTGCCAGCTTTAATTGTTCTTTAATCATATTTATGTATTCCTATTTTTTCTGTACTTGTCTTAATGAAACTACAGTCCACAACACTACAGTCTTTATTCTCTTTGCAGATCTACATTTGTGGCGGCTTCACTGGAGACATGTGTTTGATGACTGCAGAGAGCTACAACCCGCAGCACGACCATTGGACGATGATCCCACAGATAAGCTCCCCACGCAGCGGCCTCTGCGTCGCTGCGTACGCCGGGGAGATTTATGTGGTGAGTATGAATGTTTAAGAAATGTTTTTGACTTGATTTGGGATTGATTTGTTCGAGTTTATGCCATAGACAGAGAGACAGTCATATGTATACTTAAATACTCCCTCAAAAGATGCTTAATTTGAAACAAGATTTGCCAATGGGACAAAGCAAGCACTCTTGAAATGAGAATGAGAAAATAAAGCAACAGTTCTTGAAATAAGACTAAATGGCTTTGTCCCATTGTTTTAACACGGTCAGAATTTGCTTAAATTAAGATAAAAACCGCTCAATTCAAGCAATTATTACCTCTTATTTTATATTTTTTTGCAGTACACACACACACACACTCATTGTGAATTCATACAATATTTTGGGATTGCTAACAATAGTCAATAAAAAAATTATATTAAGTGCTTAAACTGTACTTTCTCACTATCTATTTATCTTTCAGTTTAAAAGTCAATCGTAAAATAACCTTTTCCTGTAGAAGAAACATGTATAGTCCATTTTAAGTGAAGCATTTTTTTCATTTCTCTCTCTCTCAGATCGGTGGCTTCAACGGCGTGAACCGCGTAACCTCATTGGAAGCCTTTAACCCGGAGAATAACCGCTGGCGCTTCCTGCCCGCCATGACGCACCCTCGCAGTAACTTTGGGACGGCCGTGCTGGACGACGAGCTCTACGTGGTGGGAGGCTACAGCGGCGACTGCACCACTAACTCTGTGGAGAAATACAACTTCAGGAGCGGAGAGTGGTCGTTCGTCAGCAGCATGGAGGTGTCGCGCTCTGCCCTGAGCTGCTGCGTCGTCAGGCACCTGCCCAACATGGCCGCTCTGTCCGGGACCACGCGTCTGGAGAAATGAAGCTCATTGTAACAACACTAAAATGCATCCATAAAAGCATTCGTTTGATTGTGTTATTTATGAAAGTTTAGTAAAAAATATAATTAATGAGGTGCAGATACAAAAATCAAAATGTCAGGAAACAGGGTAGCATTGCACACTCAGCTCAGATGTCCAAAATCTTATTTATTCATGACGTTTTGGCTTTATGCCTTCATTAGATCATGTTTTTCTTTTTCTTTTGACCATACAGTAGATTTTTGTATTTTGTAATGCTACCCTATTTCCTGACATTTCTCAAAGTTTAACCTGAGCTGAGCTTTATTTTCATAAGTAATACATGTACTGTAGGCTGTCAACAGAGAGTCTTTTGAACATAAAATGTGATTAGGAGAGATCCTTCATTTGTCCAAAAGTGGGGAAATTTCAGTGTTGCATCTAGGGCTGGGATAAACGATTATTTTTTTAACGAATAATCTGGCGATTATTTTTTTGATGCATCAATTATTCTAACAATTAATTTTTTCAGTTTGATTCGATTTCGTATTGATTATCTCCCCATTAATTGACTAATAGCAATGTATACATTGGGTGTTGTGCGTTGATTTTTTATTTTTGATTTATTGCTCTTAAAATTAAAAAATAAGACATTCTTAGTCAAATGTAGCATAAAATCTTGAAGCCTTGAAAATACATCTAGCTTACTGAAAAAGTGCATCTTACTACTGAAACTGAAAGAATACAGTAACCAATGTAAACTTGAGGGCTTTAAGCTAAAGAGAGAGAAGAAACATAATGAAAATAAACATTTAGAATTCAACAGTTATGTTGAACATAGGCCTAGCTTACTGAAAAAAATCATCTTCATTCACAAATAACTTAGACTCTGACACTTTCCTTTGCCCTTAAGAAAACTGTCTCTTTGTGTGTGCTTGTGGATGCGCATGTAGCATGTTCGCCGATGCATAAGTACCGTCTAATAATTAAATAAACTGATGGTGCACCTCCGTGAACACATACTGCTGTTATATAAATTCTCTGGAAAGTCTCTGGACACAGAGCCGCTGCAGAGCTGCAGTATTGGAGAAGACCTTTACACAAAAATCCGCTAGCTAAACGCCGCTAGCCCAGGACCAATGGTCTGAACACCCCAAGCCTCTGTAATTTAGAGAATGTGCGTCTACTGTGCGGACTGAACGCCCTAAGATGGCACTCGCATACTATTTATTATAGATCCATGGTACTACTGCTACTACTCGCTGCCATCTTTGTTTTGAGTATGACGAACCGACGTGCATATTTTGTATCGACATATTTTTTGCCTCGACGTCATCGATTACGTTGGTGCGTTGTCCCAGCCCTAGTCGCATCACAAGTTACAAAACGGTAGGAATGAGCGCTCTGACCTACAAAGTACAACTTTGATATCTCCACAATCACACTTCAGCAGTCGTGAGTTCAGGTGGTTAGAAAAGTGTATAAAGTTTGTGGTGAGCGCTTTTACAGCCTTAAAAGACACAACCGCTACTTTGTAAATGTCTTCATCATGGGATATATTTGTAAAATAACACCGCAATTAACAAGGGACCTCTGGAATGCTTTGGACTTATATGGGTCCTTCCATGAGACCCCTCCACACTCACATCTGTGAGTGTGTCAAGTAGCCAAATCAAGTCTCTAACAAATGTTTACAGGGATTTAGTCAATAGATAAATATCCTGGAGCATCCCCTGCTCTTGCACCCATTTCACTCATTTTCAACATGGAAAAACTCGTAAAAACCCAGTGGGAAAAAAAAAAAACCTTGAGGAGAACCACAGTGAAGGAGAGATCCACTCCCTCGGCTTCTACTTTACTTTTAACTTTACTTAAACATAAAAGTTAGGACGCACTAACATCTTATTTCTTTAGGTGTTGTGTTCATTTAAATTCACAACTACACAAACAGACACACTGGATACGCAACTTCCGTGTCTTTGATCTCGCTTGATGAAAGTCTGAGAAAACGCAGGCGATGCCCCGGAGAACAACTTTATCACATCACCTCGTCGACAGAGACAACGGCTGTGACGTGTGCGCTATTTCTGACTCTACAAAAATAACCCTGAACACCAGTCACCTGCATGTGACATCACCCAGGCACATGAGGCCGAGGGACACGCATTACTACACATTCAAAGAAAAAGTACATTTCACACGTATACGTTTGTTCGTCTATAGTTCAGTGGTAAAATATAGCAACCACAAGGATTTATATATGTTCTTCTTTATTATGCTAAAGTCAGAGATTTTATACTTAATTCTGGCTTCTACATCATGCTAAGGTTGGAAATTTTAGACCAGCTTCCTCATTATGCAACAGTAAGACATTTTATTTTAGTTTAGATAGAGTCATTTATTTTGTGTTGTATTGTGCGCTCCTCATTCCTACTGTTCTGGTGATGCAACACTGACATTTCCCCACTGTGGAACAAATCTCTTACACTACGAATAATCTTATACTCACAAAAGGTTAAAGTTTGGCTTGGTGTATTGTGGATCCACAGGCTTTATCTTGTGACAAAACGTTTCATATTTTCCAACTTGTTAACAGGAGCCCTGAGTGTATTTACGCTTGAACTCCTGGAAGCAGTCACTATACCAGCTTTTAGTTATGGAAGCGTAATTTCATACTTATTGTAGGTACTTTTTTTATTTTTGTGAAATTATACTTGTTTCACTGTCAGAATTTAGCCTTAACAACTGTTTGTAAAGATCAAAACCTTACAAATTACGTACTGTCATTAAAACTGGTGGAAAACCTACTCACTTTTTGAGGGATTTTTTCAGAACTCCGGGTTTTTGAGCAGGAGCAGTCAAAATGACTGCTCTGGGCATTCAAGTAGTTGCATAATTCGGAGAGTCCTCTTGTTAATCTGAGAGCTGAATTACTGAGCAGGGAATGTGACAGTGAAATAATACATGCATGTGAAAAGTAGTGATGCAACCAAGAACTGTTTTAGGAGCAGAAAATTAGAATTTGTAAAAAAAATAAAAAATTGCGGTTTGCAAGATTTAAAGCTGGGGTATCTAACTTTAGAAATACAAGCCCATTTAATATCCAAAAGAATCCATTTAATTAGTGCAAAACAGTTTGGGTCCAAGACTAGTTTCTTTGACCAAAGTTGCAATAGTTGGCCGAAAACCACATAATTTTATTTCTATTATTATTATTATTATTTTAATCGGCACAATACATCTTATTACATACAGTGCGAAAGTATTCGCAAGGCACCCCCTTGAAACTTTCAACATTTCGCCACATTTCAGGCTTCAAACATAAAGATATAAAAATCTAATGTTTTGTCATGAATCAACAAGTGGGACACAATCGTGAAGTGGAACAAAATTTATTGGATAATTTAAACCTTTTTAACAAATAAAAAACTGAAAAGTGGGGCGTGCAATATTATTCGGCCCCTTTACTTTCAGTGCAGCAAACTCACTCCAGAAGTTCAGTGAGGATCTTTGAATGATCCAATGTTGTCCTAAATGACTGATGATGATAAATAGAATGCACCTGTGTGTAATCAAGTCTCCGTATAAATGCACCTGCTCTTTGATAGTCTCAGGGTTCTGTTTAAAGCGCAGAGAGAACCATGAAGACAAAGGAACACACCAGGCAGGTCCGAGATACTGTTGTGGAGAAGTTTAAAGCCGGATTTGGATACAAAAAGATTTCCCAAGCTTTAAACATCTCAAGGAGCACTGTGCAAGCAATTATATTGAAATGGAAGGAGTATCAGACCACTGCAAATCTACCAAGACCCGGCCGTCCCTCCAAACTTTCATCTCAAACAAGGAGAAGACTGATCAGAGATGCAGCCAAGAGGCCCATGATCACTCTGGATGAACTGCAGATAACTACAGCTGAGGTGGGAGAGTCTGTCCATAGGACAACAATCAGTCGTGCACTGCACAAATCTGGCCTTTATGGAAGAGTGGCAAGAAGAAAGCCATTTCTCAAAGATATCCATAAAAAGTCTTGTTTAAAGTTTGCCACAAGCCACCTGGGAGACACACCAAACATGTGGAAGAAGGTGCTCTGGTCAGATGAAACCAAAATTGAACTTTTTGGCCACAATGCAAAACGATATGTTTGGCGTAAAAGCAACACAGCTCATCACCCTGAACACACCATCCCCACTGTCAAACATGGTGCTTTTCTTCAGCAGGGACAGGGAAGATGGCTAAAATTGATGGGAAGATGGATGGAGCCAAATACAGGACCATTCTGGAAGAAAACCTGTTGGAGTCTGCAAAAGACCTGAGACTGGGACGGAGATTTATCTTCCAACAGGACAATGATCCAAAATATAAAGCCAAATCTACAATGGAATGGTTCACAAATAGACGTATCCAGGTGTTAGAATGGCCAAGTCAAAGTCCAGACCTGAATCAAGGGGGCCGAATAATTTCGCAAGGCACTCTATATTAATATAACAGAAAAAATAAGTTGTACCTGGTTCGAAAAGAGGTTGGATGAAGCAAATGTGGTCTGGGTCTCAACATTTTACTTTCACATGACTCACTGGGACAAACGACATGTATCATTCATTTTGAAAAGCTGAAAATCCTTAACTTGTTTGTGAGTTTATATAATGGTAAAAAAAAAAAAAAACGTTATTTTTTTGTGCGTGACTTAAACCTTAAAAAAGACTGGAGACTTTTCTGTTATATTTTGGATTGATTTCCATAAAAGTAAGAATAGTCTGATTATTGAAGCATTTTTGACATTATTACCCTGTGACAGACTGTGCTTTGATTCCATATTTCATTATTCAGTCGCTTTACTTACCCTCAGGCTACAGTACAGATGATACAACTCTATATTTCTTGCTCCAGAATATACAGTATTTAAAATGTTCTCCTTTATTATGCTAAAGTAAGAAGATGCTGTGCTTAAGTCCTGCTTCTTCATCACGCTAAATTTTCTTATTATGATAAAGACAGTTTTCTTTTATTTTAGTATAGAGTTGTTA